CATGATAAACCGATACTCTCTCCCGAGAGATGACGATTGCTACTATTAAGATAGCAGTCTAATAGCTATCTAAATGCAACACGCCAAGTCCTGATATCACCACCGTAGATTGCTCGACCTGCATGTCTTGGGACGCATATGAACGTCCAAAAACGTCGAAGCGATGGACGGTTACCCTTCAGGAAGTTTGGACCACAATGTCCCCTTGCTGGTTGTCTCCGGCCTCGGTACAAATGCGAACAAACCTCTCATCGACGACCCTGAATTAAGGGAACGCGGCATTCTTGTCCGCTCGGAGCTTCCCCCCATCGACACTCGGGAGGCAAAAGTTATCCTGCGTTCGATCCAAGACGCCGACGCCTCGAGTCTTCCCTGGAAACCGCGGGATAGTACCAAGAAATACAGATTTAGAATCAGGACAATTGGGCGGGTATGTGATGAATCCAACGGCAGTGAAGCGGCCGGCTTAGAATAAGGTTCTGAAAGTGACTCCCAGGAATTCTTATTACCACCTCGCCGTGCCAAGCTTCCCGACGGGTTAGAGACGCCCTCCTCTAGTCTTGTCTTGCATTCGCCGTTCTCTCCGCTTAGCCCCGGCTCGACCCTCTATCCCGATGGCTTGATCGACTCTGGGTGGCTCCATAAGCATCAAGATTTGATACCTAGCGTGTGTCTCTGCTTTTACAGCTTAACCTCGGATCCTACCCTTGCGACGCTACACGATAACCAGCTGAAGACGGACATAAATGCAGTCAAAAATGCGATCGCGCAGTCTGGTTACAAGTCGCGCTTGGCTGTGGTTATCCTCAGCGACCAGTCCCCTGGCAGCATGATCCAGTTCCAGGAAAGGCTCGAAAACATCAGGAGGAGTACAGGACTTGACCCGAAGTCGTCGCTGTTTGTCCTACCCACCCGGCGAACAGTGGCCGAACTGGAAATGGCTGTTGAAAGTGTGCTCTCTGCAGTATTCGATTTGGCACTCGACTACTACCGGGACCTTGGGCGCCATGCTCGCAAGAAGAGAAGCCGCGGCATCGCACCGCAACCCACAGTACCACCAACCAGCGGGACCTCACATACACTATCTCTTCAAGGATGGAACGTTCGGTATGACTTCAAAGGCGGCGTATTCGCCGAGTTCCGCCAGGAAATGGACGTTGCCTGGCGATCTTATGAGCAGGCATATGAGGCCTTGCTTGGGGCCGATGTGCTTGAGACCATACCGGCTTGGAATCCTCGGTTTAACGATGCCCGTCTCCTAGCCGATATTCTGGCCATACGAGCCCTCAAATGTTTGTTGCTGAGTGGACAAAGCACTGCTGCAGTGCGACGATGGCAAGCGCATAGCGATAGGATTAGTGACATCGTAGACCGCAAAGGCCGCGGGACACAAAATTATGGCTGGAAAGCATGGCAAGCAAGATGGTGTACTGTGATGGCGAATTTGATCGAGAAAGTAGACTTTCCTGAATTGAAACCGTCGACGTTATCACTGTTTCGTCCACCCGAGAAAAGTCTTTCGGCCGAGCGTCTACAACCTTGGGAACTGCTCCATCACTCGGGGTATTGGTACCGGATGGCCGCCTCCCACCTGCTAGACAGGCGGAAACTGGCGCAGTCCATGCCGGATGAGGACCGAAAAGTGCCTGACGGATCAGCTCAGGCAGGCTTGTCAAGGAAAGCGTACACTTATGACACCTACATGTGCCCGGAGCCTCACGAGGAGTATCCCCTAGAAGGATCTGGGGTAAACCATGCTCAACTGATTTTCGACCATCTATCGCTTGCCCGGGCTGAGTTTCAGAAGCGACGCCAAAGGCGCATATCGGTTGAGTTGGCGCTCGACTCGTGTAAAGAGCTGGAAAGGATGGGGAGATGGCAGCAGCTTGTAGAGTTGCTTACCCCCTTGTGGAGAGACATGTCCTTTCGGTCCGAGGGTTGGTGGGATATCACGGAGGCGGTGAGCTGGACTTTGAGGAAAGCTGCCACCCAATGCAGCCAAACGGGGCTCATCGTTGCCCTTGACTGGGAACTGATGAACAGAGGTTAGTCCCAGCTCCAGATGGAGGCAACGTCGCCACTGCTAACATGTTTCTACAGGCTTTTCTAGACGCCCGGGTTGGCATTATGATATCTCAAAGTCTTTGGAGGGGCTTGATGTGACACAACCACCAGCCATCAACCTTGATGATGAACATCTAACATCATTCGTCTCTGCAGACTTTGTCTTTAAGTCGCCAGAGGGAAAGGCGGGTCAAACATCGCCCGCGCAGCTCTCGCTCGTCTCCAACGCATTCTCTGATGCAGTTCCCATAACACTTAGGTCGCTGCGCGTCCATGTAGAGGGTGGTTTACGAGAGATTCATCTGAAGCACGAGAAATCTCATAGCACTAACCATAGTGCTACTAACCTAGACGTGCTTGTCGTCGCGCTCAAAGAGGTTGAGGCGGGTGGAAACACTAACGTGGAAGATAATTCTGATGGTGAACATCGATATGGCTCTTCGGCTCTTCTCGAGGCGACTCTTGATTTAACATTGTTCCCGGGCCAGACGCGGGTCTTCCAGTTCGATATTCCCTTACGAGAGCCTGGAGAGGCCAAGGCGACTTCAGTACAACTGTTCTTGCAGTCGGAAACATTCTCGCTGGCATACACCATGAAGCCCCATAGGACAGATGCCCCGAGTCTATGGTACGCTGAATCGACATCGAGAAGAAGGCTTATGAGATCAGACCCTCAGAACATCAGAATCCTCCCTAGGCCGCCTAAGATGCAAATCAAAGCGCCGGGAATGGTTAAGCAGTATTATACCAACGAGGCTATCCAGCTGAAGGTGGATGTAATGAATGAAGAAGAGAACGACGCCAAGATGACGATCGATGTGGTTTTGCGTGGTGATGGTGCTCCTTCATATAGAGTCGGAATTCTGAAAGAGGGCAGTCAACCTTTAGAAGCGCAAGGCTCGGCTCCCCATAGTATCCAGGTTGGAACGATCTGTCCGTCTGAGTCGGCTAGCATCTTGACTACTTTGGAACCTGTCGATGGGCCTACAACGCTCGAACTAACCGTCAAGGTCTCTTACTTTCTGGTATCGGACCCAGCCACACCGGTCATTCAAGAGGCATCGTACACCCTCAATGTTGTCTCGGCGTTCGAGGCAAGCTATGACTTGCAGCCCCGGATACACCCTGACTGGCCTAGTCTCTTCAATGCCGAAAACATCCAAGACCTATCTGATGACGATGACACGATAGCGGTCCGGCCTAGGGGGCTCGCTCAGAGATGGTCTCTAATCACTCGTTATGCTTCTTTTGCCAATGAAGAAGTGGTTGTTTCGAATCTGGGGCTCGAAATAATAAGTACAGAGGGCAACGTGACCTGCACGGTGTCCAAGTTGGAAGGGCTGCCTGCTGAAGGTCAAATCCTCGGCCCTAAGACGATCGAGGAAGGGCAATTCGATCTCGCTGCTCAAAAGTGGAGTCTCGACGATAGATCACCGGCAACGGCTGATTTGGCTTTCATTATTGAATGGAGACGGGCTGGTGCTCCGGAAAGCGTAGTAAACGTAACGACCTTGCCTCTCCCTAGGTTCTACGTGACTGTGAACGAGCCTAGGGTCCTCGCAGCGGTCTCTTACTCGTCTCTCTCCACGTCTCCAAACTCATCATCATCATCATCGCCTTCTCAACTTCTCTTCCTCGACATCACTATAGAAAATCCTTCTTCCCACTTCTTAACCTTTGGTCTCTCGATGGAGCCGAGTGACGAGTTTGCATTCTCGGGTTCCAAGACGACGACGATCAATGTGCTACCCATCGCGAGGCGGTCCGTCACCTACCGCCTACTGCCCCTAATTAAAGGTACATGGATCCGACCGACGTTGGTTGTGAGGGACAAATATTTTCAGAAAATTCTGAAAATCATACCGACTGAAGGCATGAAAAGCGATAAGGAGGGTGTCCTCGTCTGGGTGCCACCAGATGAAGAGAGCGAGGAGGCATCTGAGGAGTCATCGGTCGTTGAATAGACAGTTACCATTGCCCTAAAGCCGATCTCATAGGCGAGAGATGCTACGGTAATACCTGGGTGGTCTAGGGCGGACCAACAGCCCTGCTGCCCAAAAAAAAAAAAAAAAGGCATAATGACTATCTATAGACAAAGACGAAATATTTGATAAGGCCAGATTTCTGATGTCCACTCGATAGAAGAACTGTACTCTTCTCGGCATATGGGAGATCGTTTGCACTCACATAGATACGAATATCAGCCGGTATCTCAATTCTGTTTATATCGAGACCACGATGCTGGTCCTTGCCTACGAGTACAGCTTTTCACAAAATAGGTAATTGGTCTGGAATCTGGATGGATATAAAAGCGACGGGGCTGGGTGTTACCAAGCTTTCTTGCAGCTGTAACCTGTATGGGAAATGCATGAGCGATGTATAAATAGAATATTAAGAGTATGATGGAATAATACGAGTAGTACCTAGCTGTTGGGCTCTTGCTTGGGCCGTTGAAAAGGATGGATCCGACCTGTAAGCTGTTCTCGACGGGGGATTTAGTTTATTGAATTAAGGTCGTCTTCCTTAGGCTTGCAGCCCTTGGTGCTCCTACGTGTGACCAAGTATTAGATAGGTATAGCCGCACCGGATTGCGCGCCGAGGGAAGGAATCGAACCTACTCTATACCCTACCTAGTCACCCGGGGTAGTAAGTACCTAGTACCTGCCTACTTGTTTACATGTTAGGTTTTTTAAGCCCGGTTGTTTAGACCTACACAGTAAGAGCAAGTAGGGGTAAGTAGTAGGTACCTTTGCTCCGGTTTCTTTTTTCTTTTGGTTTTACATATATAACTTCTTTCTCTTGTCCTGAACTGGCCCGTAGCGTAGTCTTTAATTGCATAAGGTCTTTAATTGCATAAGGTCTTTAATTGCGTAAGGTCTTTAGTTCAATTGGTCTTTGGTCTTTAATACAGTTTATTTTCCACTTGCTAAGGTGGATGGTCGCCGCAGGAATCGAACCTGCGTGCTTAAAAAAGCACTACCAGGCGTAATAACCACTACGCCACACGACCGACCTGTAAGCTGTTCTAGTATGATTGCACGGACTCTCGGATTTTGCGACGGTTCCGTTGTGGTAAGCTGGCCGGAGTTAAGAATCTTTGTCCCCCTGAGCAGTGAGCGAGCGCCAGCACCCTGGCCATGTAAAACGGCAGGCACCGAACTTCCGAAGGGCTGTTTGAGCATGTCTCACTTTGTACCCTACAATCCAAAGGATGCCGGAGTTTGCAGAATTTATACTTTGGCTAGTTACTCAGCTAAAATCACACTTGCAAATCAAGTTGGTCAGCCACCTTTTTCATGCTTGCATTAGACTAAGGTACCCTAGTGTGACTACCTACACGTAGGTATTTCAATCAAGTTCAACCGTGGGCTTACGAGTAGAAAGATATCAGCATATACACATAGATTGTGCACCAAATGCGGTATGGTATTTCTGCCGGCTGACCCAAGACAAAAATCGACGAGTACTACCTACGAGTACATCAGGCAGCCTTAACACGGTCTCTTAAATAACCCTATATAACCCGGGCGATACCTAATTTGTTCCGACTCTACTACCTATCCTGAAATCGATGCAGTTCCTCCAACGATTAGTACAATCGAGACTTCGATATCCGCTACCCATAACCAGATATAGAAAACTTGCTTCTGCAGGGGTCAAGACAACTGGAGTAGCAGGCATGGCAACTTACGTTTGCACCATCCAACCTCGACCCGCGTCCGACAAGGTGCTGGACAAGAATGCCAAGGATCACCATGTCAAGAACAGTCGGGGGGAGACTATCAAGTTTCAAAACCCATACCCATCACACCTTTTCCCGTCGTTTACAGTATTCGCGCCCGCTATTATGTATGTGACAACTCATCATATTGTGCTACAGTGCGCGTACCCGCTGTGGCAGTGGGGTTTTTTCTTCTAATTTTTTTTCTTTTACTAATCAAAGGCAAACACACCGGCAGTAAGGGCATATTCACTTCAGAAAGGCCAAAGGCCACTATAGCAGACAATCTCGTACCTGTGGTGAAGCCGCAGTTCTTACAAGAGCGTACAGGTTCCGACCAGCTACGGGCCACGTGGCTGGGCCACGCCTGCTACTATGTCGAGTATCCGTCAGGCCTGCGCGTGCTATTCGACCCGGTATTTGAGGACTGCTGTGCGCCCGTGAATATCCCGAGCCTGAAGCGGTACTCGGAGCGGCCGTGTGACATTGCCGACATTCCGTTTGTGGATGCCGTCGTCATCAGCCACTCTCATTATGATCATCTCTCTTACCCGTCGGTGCAGGAGATCAAGAAGCACCATCCCAACGCGCACTTCTTCGTCGGGCTCGGGCTAGAGAAATGGTTCAAGTCGAGCGGTATCGAGGATGTGACGGAGATGGACTGGTGGGACGAGGCCGATGTCACCTTCACGCCCAAGGATGGTGACGCAGATACCAAGGCGCCGGGGCCCATCCAGGCTAGGATATCGTGTCTTCCCAGCCAGCACTCGTCCGGCAGGACCGGTTTCGACAAGGATCACACGCTATGGGCATCATGGGGTGTCCAGTCCGGAACATTGGATGAGAAGAAGACGGTCTGGTTTGGTGGGGATACAGGGTACCGTACCGTGCCCAAGATAGCCGAAGGGCTAGATGATTGGGGCCCGGAGTTTCAACATCTCCCCGTGTGTCCGCAATTCCGTCAGATCGGGGAACATCTAGGCACCGTCGACCTGGGACTCATCCCAATCGGGGCTTACCGTCCGCGTCACATCTTCTCGCACATGCACGTCAACCCTTACGACGCCGTCGAGATTTTCCTCGACACTAAATGCGAGAAGGCCATGGGCATTCACTGGGGTACGTGGATCCTTACAAACGAGCATCCTTTAGAACCCCCCAAGTTGCTCAAGGAGGCTATGAAGCGGAAGGGAATGCCAGAGACTGGCGTTTTTGACGTTTGTGATGTTGGAGAGAGCCGCGTCTTTTAATTGATAGTCCTAGGGCTTGGGATACTGATGTAAAATATGTTGGGTTATGTGTTGAATTAGGTACACGTCACGGTATTTGCTGGAGTAGAGTTTTTAATTTACGGTAGCACTAATTACAAAACATAACCCTCTGGGTTTAATACATGTAGGCAAGTACTTTCTTGTTTATATAACAACTCATATCTCAGACCCTCCTACCCATACTTTTGTACGTTATGATTCTTGATATTCCACGTTCCCTAATCGTTTGTAATATGAGTACTTACTCGTACATGCAAGACATTGCTTGGTGTGGTGCCTTGGAAGTTGGGGGTAGGGGTTGAGGTGGGGTCTAGTCAAGTTTGTGCGGATGCCTATGGAGGGCCATTGAGCCATTATCCGCCATTACCCTAATTCTCTACATTTTTTTTTTTTTTATGTTTTGCACAAAAAACTTTTTTATTTTATATTTTATACTAAAAACTTTTTTATTTTTTGCTTTGCATACAAAACTTTTTTATCTTGCCTGCTAGCTTTTAAGTAAGTAAGTAATTATATCTTGCTTGTCGGCCTTAAGGTTAGTAGGTAATTGTATTTTGCCCGTTGGCCCTAAGGTAGGTAATTGTATCTTGCTAGGCAATTGTATCTTGCCTGTCGGCCTTAAGGTTAGTAGGTAATTATATCTTGCTAGGCAATTGTATTTTGCTAGGTAATTATATCTTGCCTGTTAGCCTTAAGGTAGGTAATTGTATCTTGCCCGTTGGCTTTAAAGTCGGTAGGTAATTGTATTTTGCTAGGCAATTATATCTTGCTAGGTAATTGTATCTTGCCTGTCGGCTTTAAGGTTAGTAGGTAATTATATCTTGCTAGGCAATTATATTTTGCCCGTTGGTCTCAAGGTCGGCAATTGTATTTTGCTAGGCAATTGTATTTTGCCCGTTAGCCTTAAAGTAGGCAATTATATCTTGCCTGTTGGCCTTAAGGTTAGTAGGTAATTATATCTTGCTAGGCAATTGTATTTTGCTAGGTAATTATATTTTGCTTGTTAGCTTTAAAGTAAATAATTATATTTTGCTTGTTAGCTTTAAAGTTAGTAAGTAATTATATTTTGCTAGGTAATTATATTTTGCTAAGTAATTATATTTTGCTTATTAGCTTTAAAGTTAATAAGTAATTATATTTTGCTAGGTAATTATATTTTGCTTATTAGCTTTAAAGTTAGCAATTATATTTTGCTAAGTAATTATATTTTGCTTATTAGCTTTAAAGTTAGCAATTATATTTTATTTATTAGCTTTAAAGTTAGTAAGTAATTATATTTTGCTAGGTAATTATATTTTACTTGCTAGCTTTAAAGTAAATAATTATATTTTATATAAAATATTAAAGTACTTTACTTAATAAAAATTTACTTATATATAAGTAAATATAATTATAAATACTATTATAAAGCTATTTAATAGTATAAGTACTTATATATTATATTATTTTTTTACTATATACTTTTTACTTTTTTTTTTTTTTTAAATAATTAGTTATATTTAACTATAAAATATAAAAGCTTTTTATACTTTATATTTATACGCTGCTAATATTACTTTAAAGCTTTTATTAATATAGTATTAGTAGCTTTTTTATTTTTAGTTTTATTTTATTTTTTGCTAGCATAGTTAGCAACGCTGCTTAAAGCAATAAAAGGTTTTAAAAGTTAAATTTTATTTTTAACTATAGCTTTAAGTTTTAGCATTATAGCAAAAAATAAAAACATAACTAAAAAAAAGAAAAAAAGAAAAAAAAATAAAAAAAATTAAAAAGTACTTAATATAATAGCTAATACTTTTTTTAATATAATAACTAACACCTTTTTACTAAAACAATTATAACGCAGTAGTACTTTGCTTTTTGCTTTGCTTTTAGATTTTTTTACTTTTATTACTATGCTTATAGCTAAAAGAAATATAGCTAAAAAAAAGAGGCTATAAAAAAAAAAGCTATAAAAAAAAAGCTTTAAAAGCTTTACTTTTTTTGCGCTAAAACGCTTATATACTAGTAACTAATATATAAAAAATATACTTATATATTAGCTATATTTAAAGTATATTAAGTAGTTAAGCAGCTATAATAAAGTATATTAACTTTATTAGCACTTATGCTATTTATTATAAATAGTATGTTAATAATAACTATAGCTATATTTTAATATAAGTTATTTTAATATAATATAGCTAAGCTTTTATACTAATTTATATATAGCCTACTATTTTTTATTTTAATATTTAATTAACTTTTTAATATAATAATAAGCAATTAAAGTTGTTAAAGTTAAGTAAGTATATATTATTTTAGCTTTTTTATATTTGCTTATTTTTAATATATATTATAAAATATTATTAGTATTTTGTATACTATATGTTATTTATTAAATAAGCTTAATATTTTAAGCGCTAGCCTTATTAGTAAAAATGTTTATAATAATGCAGCGTATATAAAAAAAGCAAAAAAGCTATATAAGCTTTTTAATAAGCTTGTTTTATTGCTTACTAAAAAAAATAATTAAAAAAAAAAAAAAAGCTTATATAAAGTATTACTATATTAGCTTTATAACTTATTATTATATATATTTTCTAGCTTAAAAAAACTAAACGTTTTTTATATAATATTTTTTAATATTTAGCTATTAAAAATATTAAGCTTTACTAAAGTATATATAAACTTATAGCAAGGCTATGTTTAGCTATTAAAAATAATAAGCTTTATTAGAATCCCTTTTAATACCCTTGACCTTATTAACCACATTAAGACTATTAAAATGCAAATATCTTATAAACATAAATATTTAGTTTTTTATATATTTGTTATAGATTATATTAAACTTACTTTATTAAAAAAGTATACGCGTAGTATATGTACATAGTACGTAACTAGTATATATAAAGTACGCGTTTTTTATATATTAAATATATAAGGTGTATGTATTTTTTTTATATTGCTAATAGGTTTTAATTAACTATAAACCTTTATAGCTATATAAAACTTACTAAAAAAAGTTTTTATAACTTT